CCTATGGAGGTGGGTGCAGGTTGAACAGATTGAAGTTTCTACCCTCATTATATCTGACCACCTCTGACTGTATAGAAATATCAATGAAGGCCCTTGTGTAAAAAAAAAAAAAAAAAAAAAAAAAATTTTTTTTTTTTTTGTGTCTCACTGGTCATTGTATCTTTTCCATGTCCAAAGCCACTTTATCCTGTGTACTCAAATAACATTACCAGCCTCTTCAACTTTGTGTGTTCTTTTAGCATGCAATCTACAATTTTTATTCTTAACATACATTGTTGAGTGTATGTGAAAGGTCTGTTTGGAATCCAATATTACATCATACAATCACTGAAGTTAAGCAATATTGAGTCTAGTCAGTACCTAGATGGGTGACTGCTTGGGAATACCATGTGCTGTAAGGTTGGATGTTTGGGTGGTTTAATGGATAGTGACTCGGAATTGTTAATTGTTGAGCCAAAAGTTCAAATTTCAGTTGTGTTAGTTACATTCACTTACGTGCAAGTACACTTGGGAAAGGTATGAATCCATTTCTTCTCTGCCCTAGCTATGGGTTAATTAGTAAAACTTGTATCACCAAATCAATTTTCCAAAAATTTTTTCGTACAATCTACAAATATTTTCTGGCTTTAAATAATCTGCAAAAGGTTAAGCTGTAGAAAACGAATTGATCAAATGTAACCTAAGACTATGGGGGTCTTGATTTAACTTGGTAAGCAATTGAGAGGAACAGGAATAAACATTCCTTCTATAGGGATGTGGATAGTACGTTTCTCTTGAGCTGTGTCTTTGTCTTTTGTGTGTGTGTGTGTGTGAAATGTGGCATGATTCAAATCTGTCAGTTTTAATAGGATTAATAATACTAAGAGTAATCATATTCCTATTGTGTACAGAAAACATATCTTGAGAGATATGATTGTCTTGCATGTTTATAAGTCTAAAGATTTAGAGCTGCATCAATAAAGATTAATTTTCTATCGAGTAGAAAACTGGATTTGATATGTGCACTGTTGCTGAAAATGGCATATGACATTCTTGGAGGTTCAAGAAATCTTAGATTGATTCAGTTGTAAATTGAATTTTTTTTTTAATAACAAATGTGGATGAGTTGAATTGACTTGGTGGATAAGTTAATATAGAATTGTTTGTCCCCCCCCCCACCTTGGTCTTTGCTTTAAATTTATTTGTGAACATCCATTTTGTTCAGTGATAGTTGTTTGAGGCAGTAAGCATTTACTTCGTAGTGAGGGATATCATTGAAATTGGTGTTACAAAGTGCAACAGAAATACCTCCCACGTAATGGTAAGACATTAGCTACATGAATGACTTACCATTATGTGGGAGGTATTTCTGCTGCACCCTGTATTAAGCATAAAGAACATTTTAAAAAATTGTTTTTTTTTTTTTTGTTTGTGATGGCATTTGTTGTCCCTATGAAGGCAGAATTTGCCACAGTCTTGAGTGATGTCCAAATATTGCCCATTAATCTTTGCCACAGATATTTGGACATATTGCTAATGCTGGGGAAAGCCTGGTATGGATCTCTGTTATGAATTTCTATGGCAAGCGGTCTACCCATAAGCCAAAGAAACACCCCAAGTTAAGCAGGAAAATTGTCTTATACAAACTTGTCATACCAGAGTACCGTCAACTACAAAACTGCATTAAATACTAAGAATTCATGTCAGACTTGTGGAAAGTCAGCAGGTGGCCTGAAAAATTTGCAAACATACACCTGTGGCGGACTGGGTTTGCACGTGTTGTAATCTGAAATGCGTCTGTCACTCCTGAAAGAAAGTCCACTACAATAACCAAAGAAATGTAAAGGGAACAATCGAGACACACACACACACACATATATATATATATATATATATATATATATATATATATATATATATATATATATATATATATAATAAAATAAGACAGCAAAATAAAACTGGCAATCTCTGTTACAATATTGATTAAATCAAACTTGAACTGAAGATGTATTCATTGAAAATTATAATAAACTTGTTGCATAAACATGTAAATTCTAGGTGAAACACACCAATACAATAGTAGAGAAAAGTTTTATTCATCAAAAATAGCCACAACATAGAATGTTACAATAGTTAAACTCATTACAGTACTGAAAGAGATATATATATATATATATATATAATAAATAAAACTTATCTTTGTTAGGTGGTATGACAAGACACTTTGAAGACTGGCATCTGCCTCCCATAACAACAGAGTTGTGCACCCTCATTAAGTAGTGGGAGGGAGCAAAAGAAACTAGTTGGCAACTGGGGATTATGAGTACTAAAAAAAAAAAAAATTGGGGGTTAACAATACAACCCCCCACTGTCACTAATCCATAGTTAGATATACAGTAATGTCCAAATTTAAGGAACAAGGTGTGATCTAAGTAGACTTTAAAATATGCCTAAAACCATCACGCTGCCTCTGCCAAATTTGACTGTCTTGGTGCATTTTAAACTCTACTTTTTGCCAATTCTGTACATCTTGTTTCAATGTTAAAAAAATTTAACATTGAAACAAGATGTACAATTTTGTAGTGGTTATGTGTATGTTCTGATGTAACACTGCATAATAAATATTTATTGCTCTATTTTGGTATTGAGCCCTGTTTTAAAATTAATGTTTTGAACTTCAATATAATTATTTGAATTAAATTACCAAGCTCTGTTCCATCTTCAAGCGAAATTTTTTTTAATTTAATTCAAATAATTATATTGAAGGTTTTCGGCTCTTGTTTTGAAAAATGAGGACTCTTATGTACCGATGGAATCATATTTTTAAATAATTTAAGCTCTACTTTTTTTGTATCGAGCACCCCCCCTTTTTTTTTTTTTTTTTTTTTTTTGTATCTAGAAAATGCCATGACTTTCCAGTTTTCAAGTAATCCCTCAAAATACAACACTGACAACTAATAATGATTTTAATGTAGTGAAATCATAGACTATTTTTAGTTGGAGATAGTACTTAAAAAAAAAAAAAAAAAAAAAAATACTTTTGATACAAATGTACGTCATATCTCCCTTGTCTGAAATTCCCATGTTCACAAAAATGAAATATTAAAGGGAGGTCACTCAAGGTTTACACTGTTACAAGTCAAGATTTTCAACATTTTGAAATTATTGAATGCTTATTCACCAGTTACTACTAATAAATGATTGAGATATATATATATATATATATATATATACACACTACATATAAGAGAGAAAAAGAAACAAATTGTCTATGCTTCTTACAGCAAGTAGTTACAATAGATCAAAGAATTTGAAAAAAAAATCTGTATATCAAGCCATTAGCCAAAATAAAAACATGAGAAAAATGTTAATCTTAAATTTTACATATGCCCGTGTCTAAATCAGCCATGACACCTGATGATCTCTGTAGATAGAAACTCTAGTAGCAGTTGTGAACTCTGCTTTTTTTTTTTTTTTTTTTTTTTTTCTTCTTCAGTGGTGTTGTTAGCTACAATAATTGTCTTGGTCATTTAGACATCAAGAACTAACTTATTGTTTATTTAAGAGGCTGAAACTTTAATTTTTAAAAAGATTTTAAATATTCTGCTGCTTTTATTTCCTTTTGCTTACTTGATGTGCTTTGTTAACTTTGCCAATTCTTTCGTTCATGCATATGAGATGATGGCTACTAGCTACCTTGCTACTTAGCAAGATCATCATAAAACATTGTAAGACTCTGCTGTGCCTTGAATAGATACAGTAGCATCCAAAATTAAGGAACAAAAAAAGTCCAGTCTTTCTGAAATTTTCACTAAATGTAGACAAATGGCAGTTCAGTTGTGCTTTGAACCTGTAAGTTATTTGGAATAATACAATCATTTAATTCTTTACTCAAATCTAAAGTATCCAAAATTAAGGAACAAAATCTGAAATATGTGAGAATAATGCACATAAGCAGAATTTCTGATAAGCGAGGTTAAGATAAATATTGTTTATCACTGCGAAAATTTCTCTTTAATCTTAAAATTTTGCATTGTAGACAACTGTATTTGAACCCTGCATCTCTTACTCAAATTTGTTTTCTTCTGTTCTCAAAAATGGACAAGATAAATCTTACTTATTATAAAATGCAGATTGTGTGTGTGTGTCTGTACGTTTATATATTGGATCGGATTTCCTACATTTTTTTTTTTTTTTTTTTTTTTTCTTTTCAACCAATTTCAACAAAACTTCACAGGACTGCATAAAATTACTTTGCAGTGGTTCTGACAGTGCCAAAAATTGGAAAAACACAATTGTTTTTGCACAGAATCAAAATGAAAACACTATTAAGAGGCATTAATGAAAGGGGAACAACTCATATAGTTATTGATATCGAGTTTTACTTATTATAAAACCCAGGTTGGTTGTTTGCGTGTGTTCCTTTATAAATAGGATCGAATTTCCTACATTTTTCAACCAATTCCAACAAAACTTTTTTTTTTTTTTTTTTTTTTTTTTTTTTTTTTGCAGGTAGTGTTTCTTATTGTCTTGCACACTATTTTTACATTCAGAATGCTTTAAAAATTCCATTTACAAGACAATTGTTTATGATAAAATTCTATTCAATCGGTAGACTCATAACTATTGAAAACAATGTTTTTGTTTGGGTTTGACCAATTCTTAAAAAAAAACAAAAAAACTAAGACATGCGTGTCCGTCAACCTTAAACAATAATCTTTGTCAATTTTATTTTTCAGTCTTTATGATGGTCGATACTTGATCTATCTCTTACTGTTACATCCCTGGGCAATGCCGGGCTCTACTGCTAGTCATTATTATAATTACTAGGTAACACTTAAATGAATGGTTAGGAAAATTTTCTTATTTTTATCTTAATACTGTCTTTATCTGCTTATGTGATAAACTAAAATCTTTTAGGTCAGTGGATGCTGAGAAGGAAGATTAATTTTTCACTGATTTAAGACAAAACGCATTGTGATGATTAAAGTCTTTTCAAATTTCTTTTCTTTTCACAGCCATGAAGAAATACAAACCTACTGACTCTACCACCAACCCATCATTGATTTTGGCTGCTGCTAATATGACAGAATATGATGAATTAATGTCTAAGTCTATTCAATGGGCTCAGACACAAGGAGGGTAATTGTTTTCTTGTACAAAAAAGAAAAAACAAAATGGCATATTAATAATAATGAAAAAAAGTTAATGGTCACAGAACTGCTGTCATTTTTTTCTTAACAAATTGTAGGAGTTTGTCTAATATTTAAGAATTGTAATTATTATGCAAATTTGTGTATACAAAATGGATAAAGTACAATAATTATTTAATATCTTTTATATATATATATATATATATATATATATATATATATATATATATATATATATATATATATATAAAAATTAAATAATTGTTGTACTTGATCCATTTTGTATACATACAAATTTGCATAATAATTACAATTTTAAATATTAGACACTTTTGTTAGGAAAAAATGACAGCAGTTCTGTGACCATTAACTTTTTCTATTATTATTAATATGCCATTTTGTTTGTTCTTTATAATTAGATACAATTTAAGTAAATGCTTGGTCATTTTTTTTTTTTTTTTTTTTTCTCAAACAGTATTAATTACATTTACTGGCCTGAATGTTAGACATTTTGCAGAATGTGTTCTCTATAGCCGAGTGATTATTCTAAAAGCAACTAATGTAAAATAAAATTAAAGTGAGAAAATTCTCACTTTTTCTAGTCTGCTTTTAATAGATTGTGCATATGCATGCAAGAACTTAAGCACTTTTTTTTTATTTTTTTATTTTTTATTTTTTTATCTGGTCAGAGAAACCTGAATGGCAACTTGCGATTGAAGAACTTAAATTTAAATACTTGTATTATTTATCTGTTAATATGAAAAACATTAGGATGTAGTTGGAAGAAGTAATTTTGATTTTAATAAACAAAGCAAGATTTTTTTTTTTTTTTTTTTGTTAAATCTTGAAACATTAACAAAGACTAGTTCTCTGCTTTTTGTAAACTAAATTGAAAATACAAAAATTTGAAAAATGATTAATGAACATGGAAAATTTAGTCAGTCTGGATCAGTTAATTGTAAACAAATTTTTCAGATAAAATCTTAATGCTTTATATTTTTTCAATTTTTTTCCTTTTTATTGCGAATCATCGGAATGGGTTAATATATAGAAAATTAATTCTTGAGGGATGATAAAAGTTACTCTAACAACATTTCTGTATAAAATTATTCTAGACAATTTAGCCAAAATGTTTAAATAAAATAAATGAATATTTTTTCTTGTAAGTACTACAGTAAAAAAAACAAAAAAAACAAAAAAAACTCATTCTCTCGCATTGAAAACAAATGGTGTGGTGGTTGCATGGCATAGAAACCAGTTTTAAATATTGATCAAAATGTTTTTTTTCTGCTACGACTATAAATAAGTGTGTATAATAAAAAAAAAACCCCCAAAAAACACATTCTCAGTTTCAAATATTGGGTGAAGGTGTAAAATGTTGGTGTGCAGACCTGTTCTATGATTGCATTCTTAATGTTTTCTTTTATTTTGTGTCTTCAGTTCCCCAGAAGAACAACTTACAAATGCACTAGACAAATTAAATGTTTTGTTTGGAGAAGAAATTCTAAAGATCATTCCTGGACGTGTGTCTACAGAAGTTGACGCCAGGTAAGCTTTTGCTTTTTCTTAAACTTTGGCATTCATAAATCACTTCATAAATACATTAACACATTAATCCTTACAATGGGACTGCGGGCATGAATGGGTTAGTCCTTCCGAGATCTCCTCATAAATACAGCTTATGTATAAAGGAAAATCAGATTTTCTCCACGCCTTCCCTAGCTATATCAATGCATATAAGGTTTATTTTAGTTTTTTTTTTTTCATCATCTCTCTCTCTCTTCATCCTTCTCTCTCTCTCTCTCTTCATCCTTCTCTCTCTCTCTTCATCCTTCTCTCTCTCTTCATCCTTCTCTCCTCTCTCTCTCTCTCTTCATCCTTCTCTCTCTCTTCATCCTTCTTCTCTCTTCTCTTCTCTCTTCATCCTTCTCTCTCTCTTCATCCTTCTCTCTCTCTTCATCCTTCTCTCTCTCTCCTTCATCCTTCTCCTTCTCTCTCTTCATCCTTCTCTCTCTCTTCATCCTTCTCTCTCTCTTCATCCTTCTCTCTCTTCATCCTTCTCTCTCTTCATCCTTCTCTCTCTCTTCATCCTTCTCTCTCTCTTCATCCTTCTCTCTCTCCTTCTCTCTCTCTTCATCCTTCTCTCTTCATCCTTCTCTCTTCATCCTTCTCTCTCTTCATCCTTCTCTCTCATCCTCTCTCTCTCTTCATCCTTCTCTCTCTCTTCATCCTTCTCTCTCTCTCATCCTTCTCTCTCTCTCATCCTCCTTCTCTCTCTTCATCCTTCTCTCTCTCTTCATCCTTCTCTCTCTTCATCCTTCTCTCTCTCTTCATCCTTCTCTCTCTCTTCATCCTTCTCTCTCTTCATCCTTCTCTCTCTTCATCCTTCTCTCTCTCTTCATCCTTCTCTCTCTCTTCATCCTTCTCTCTCTTCATCCTTCTCTCTCTCTTCATCCTTCTCTCTCTCTTCATCCTTCTCTCTCTCATCCTTCTCTCTCTCTTCATCCTTCTCTCCTTCTCTCTTCATCCTTCTCTCTCTCTTCATCCTTCTCTCTCTCTTCATCTCTCTCTTCATCCTTCTCTCTCTTCATCCTTCTCTCTCTCTTCATCCTCCTCTCTCTTCATCCTTCTCTCTTTCATCCTTCTCTCTCATCCTTCTCTCTCTCTTCATCCTTCTCTCTCTCTTCATCCTTCTCTCTCTCTTCATCCTTCTCTCTCTCTTCATCCTTCTCTCTCTCTTCATCCTTCTCTCTCTCTTCATCCTTCTCTCTCTCTTCATCCTTCTCTCTCTTCATCCTTCTCTCTCTCATCCTTCTCTCTTTCATCCTTCTCTCTCTCTTCATCCTTCTCTCTCTCTTCATCCTTCTCTCTCTCTTCATCCTTCTCTCTCTCTTCATCCTTCTCTCTCTTCATCCTTCTCTCTCTTCATCCTTCTCTCTCTCTTCATCCTTCTCTCTCTCTTCATCCTTCTCTTCCTTCTCTCTCTCTTCATCCTTCTCTCTCTTTCATCCTTCTCTCTCTCTTCATCCTTCTCTCTCTCTTCATCCTTCTCTCTCTCTTCATCCTTCTCTCTCTCTCATCCTTCTCTCTCTTCATCCTTCTCTCTCTCTTCATCCTTCTCTCTCTCTCCTTCTCTTCTCTCTCATCCTTCTCTCTCTTCATCCTTCTCTCTCTCTTTCATCCTTCTCTCTCTCTCCTTCTCTCTCTCTTCATCCTTCTCTCTCTTCATCCTTCTCTCTCTCTTCATCCTTCTCTCTCTCTTCATCCTTCTCTCTCTCTTCATCCTTCTCTCTCTCTTCATCCTTCTCTCTCTCTTCATCCTTCTCTCTCTCTTCATCCTTCTCTCTCTCTTCATCCTTCTCTCTAGTTGATATTTGACTCTTTAAGTCATGCTAAAAAAAAAAAATAATTGTAATATTTTTATTTATTTATTTATTTTTTATTTTTATTTTTTTTTTAGCTCGGGGGTGCTTCTATTTGTTCAGTCATGGAAATGGCCATGCAGGGCAAGCCTATTATGAAAGACCATGGGATTTCTGTGAATCTATACCTGCTAGTCTTAATTTTTTTTTTTTTTTTAAGATGTGTATCCACATAAAAAATATTAATAGTAATAAGAATAATGTCATAAATCCTTTTAAGAAAAAAAAAAAAAATTACCATCTGGGTAATAATTTGATTGTTTTGAAAGTGGAAGCAAATATTTATTTAATTTGGAAATGTTGATGCATATTTGGTTGTCCTAATTGGTTTTATATTTTTATTTTTTTGAGGTTGTCTTTCGATACAGATGGGATGATAGAAAAGGCTAAAAAGTTGATAAAAATGTACAAGGAAGATGGAATTGACAAAGAAAGAATTCTTATCAAATTAAGTTCTACCTGGGAAGGAATCCAAGCTGCCAAGTAAGTAATTGTTTACTACTTTCTCAAAGTAAAAACTGAATGTTCAAAAATATTTTTTCAGACTTCTTGCTTGGATTTTATTTTTTCAAAATCCTCTTACATGGAGATAATGAATGGCACCTAAATATGTGGGTGTATTTGAGTGAAATTACTCGCCTGTAATTATTTTTGAGTGGGTGCTTAAAAGTGCTCATTCTAACCTATTCTAAATTTTTGGTATTCTTCCCTAATATCTTCTTGGTGTCAATTTAAACTGATGCAAAATGGATGTGGTTTAAGCCAGTCATTCAACTCTTAACTTAGCTGTGAAATTATAGCATACATCATGCATAAAGAATTAAGAATTGTTATAGAGAAATAATTTGTCGATTTGGCATTTTTTAAACCTTCCTTAGGCCACAATATTTGTCAGAATTGAGAAATATTAATTCATTTTAGAAGAGGGGTCCTGTGTCAAATTGATCTCTGACTTTGAAGTTACCGGCCTTTTGTCTCTTAAGTGTAAAATTTGAAGATGTACTATCATTGATGTATGCATTTTTTTTCTCCTCAGTTTGATGATTTTGATGAAATATAAAACTGTTTTTGTGGTGCTAGTTGATTCCTTATTGTCTTTTTTGTGCATATATTTCTACATAAACAGTTTGTTTCTTGTATTGACTGATTTCATCCCAGAGATTTTCCTCAAAGTTAGTTAAAAAAAAAAAAAACTTTGCCTGAATGAATAATGTCGTCATAATTTTGATCATCAGGCTGGCCCAAAAATTGACCCCCCCCCAAAAAAAAATCAGCCTCTTTCATTGCTGTATTGGTTGCAATTTGAAAATGTCTTCATTTTATATTGGCGTATAATCTATTTTTTTTTTCTTTTGTTAAGTAATTTGACAAAGAAAATTTTATTTGCAAAATCTCTGATTTTACAGATATTTTGTAAAGTTTAAGGCCTTAAAATTTTATTTGCAAAATCTCTGATTTTACAGATATTTTGTAAAGTTTAAGGCCTTAAAAGCTTCCACATGGAGAGAATTTGCTTGAAAATCAGCATCTGAAATCTTTGGTTTGAACATCTTTTTCTTTGATGGAAAATACATGATTATGAAACGGGCTCTTTTTTTTTTTTTTTTTTTTTTTTTTTTTTTTAGGTGATTGTGCTGCTCCAAAAATTTAAGCTTTCATAGTATTTTTTTTAATTTTTTCCCTTTTTTTTAATTTTTCCAATTTACTTTTAATTCTTCTTGCAGAATCTTAGAAGAGAAGCATGGAATTCACTGTAATATGACACTGCTGTTTAATTTTTACCAGGTTTGTTTGCTTTTTATTTTGAAAATGCAGCAAATTATACTGCACTTGTTTTCCCTAACCCTATTAGAATGATTACTTTGCTATTTATGTAAATGTAAAAAGTTTTATTTGGCAATAATATAAGTGACAGATGGCAATAAAAAAAAGCACTGATTATTTAGTTAACTGATTTAAATAATACACTGACTTATGTAATTAAGTGAAATGATGCACTAAAGTAATAAAGTAATCATTTTAAGTTTTCTGAATATTGGTGTCTTTTTAAAAACCCCTATTCTGCTTGTTTTGTCTATATGACAATTACTATTGTATAATTCCATGTATAAGGCGACCTATAGATAAGACTAGACCCAAAGTCTAGGTAAAGTTTTGACTTTCTGATATCTATAGTGTAAGATGACTGACCGATGAAACTAAATGACAATTATGATGAGCACTTTTCATCAGATGGCGAAATTCACAGTAATTTTGAAGGGTTTTAATTATGTACATGGGTGTTATGTTTTTATTGTGATGGGAAATAAAAATTTTATGGCATCTTAAATGTTTTGTTGCTTAACACTGCCAAAAAAAAAAAAAACAAATGATGTATGTTATTGACAAATAAAATCTGCATGTTATGCTAAATGTTGCCGTTATTTAATGCCACAATGATAATGAATTTTAATTAAAAATATAGATTGTTATTGTAAATGATTTTTTTTTAACACTATTATGAGAAATAATGGTTGGTGTGAATGTACCCATGGGTCTACAAATCGAAAACGAAAAATTTATTTGTTATTTGTGTGTCTAGTTCAGCAGGACTCTGCAAATTGTGTAATCGTTTCTTGAATGTTACATTTTAATGTGAAATAAAGTAAAAGTAGTTTTATTGTATTTATAACTGTACATAGTACAGCACTATAATGCGATTTTGTTTCAACTAGAAATATTTACATTGGTAGTTACCATACTGAGGCAGTTGCTAACCTACTGTGATCCATGGCGCAAACATACTAGCCTATTTACCAGTGCTGAAACATCAAAGGATTTATGGTGTTTTCAATGGCACTGTTGTTTAGTTTTAGTTCCATCTCTTCACCTCAACGTCCTGAGTATGACGTTAAACTGCATCCAACATCAAGGCCTCTGATCAGGAGGTTTTGAGGAGCATGGAACCACCTCTTAATTGGTGTTCCCAGGTCCATCCTGACCCGGGGTGGTAGCACCTGTTAGGGTCCCAGCTATGGGCAAATAGTGAACTCCTAGCTCTTTCCAAGTCTTACCGGCGTCCTGGGTATGGCGATAAACCATGTCCGTGTGCAAGGCCTCAGATAATGTTTTCGGTAAAATGATGTTGCCAGCTATACGTCTTTGAAAAAAATAATGTTGAGTGAAAAATTACATCAATTGGCTATGCAAATGAATTAGTTTATTTAATATAAATAACGAACTCCTGCCAGACAGAAATATTTGAAACCATTGAGTAAGAATAAACAAGCTGTGGTTAAGGATGCTATCCTTAAATTATGTTTACAAAGTATATATATTTAATATATATGTGCACACTGGATTTGGTATTAAATGACCCATATAGTGGTTGATATGCCATAAAACCCCAAACAACCAACCAATCTTCTCATTATGATTTCATGCTTTTGTATATTAACACCTAATGTCTTGTGGTTATTAACATTAACAGCTTTTCAAGTGTCCTCTGTGCAACCATACATTTTTAATTTCTTCTACACTTTTACTTGTTACTCGGAGCTGTTTTTCTTTCCATTTTGGGCTTCTTGTTTTCAAGTTTTCTATTCAACATTTGTCCTTTTTCAGTACTGTTACAACTTCTGACTTTCTTAATTAATTTCTCATTAATCTGCTTTATATTGCCCCCAACTCAAGTTGACACAATCTTTAATCCTGAACAGTCCTCTTCTTCATTTCTTTCTTCTCATATCCATTACTTTGGCAAGGCTTTATGCATGGTCATCAGTTTCTCTTACTATAACTATTTTTATTATAATTTCATGCTTTTGTATATTCACACCTAATGTCTTGTGGTTATTACTTAATATTGATTAACAGCAAGTCTCCTTGACTCTCCAACACCTTCCTCAGCATTTTGCTTACCCTAGCACTGATTGCTGTGGTCTACAGTCAGTTTTTTCTCAAAGCTTCAATTCATCCAGTCTCATTCTTAGGGTGGTTTCAGAACCACTTACTATAGGCATGACTCTGACCCTCATTTTCAGCTGCTTTTTTTCTTCCCAGGCTAGATTCTGGTAGTTTTAGATTTCTTTCAGTTTCTTTTATTTTCACAATATGACGTTCACCAGTTTGATATCATACAATGTTTCTGTGTTCAGAATAAAGCTATTACTACAATTATTATTAGTAGTATGATTACTCACACTGAGTACTCACAACAATATGAAATGATAGTTTACATTGAAGATTAAGTGACAAGAAATTTCATCAATATTCCAGCAATGTTCTTAATAATGTAGCTGTTTTCATTGACACTGTTGTCTAGATTTAGTTCCAGTTCTTCTCCTTAATTTTAAGATCTTCCAGTATGTTTTCCTAGGCTTCAATAACTGAAAGTTCTCTAATTGTCAAGTTCATATTTCACAACTTCCTCAGATCAAGATTCTCATCTATCTTTTCACTTTCATATATCTGCATGTTTACACTAGATGGTTATTATTGGAGATTAAGTGACAGAAAGTCTCCTTAAATATTCAAAATTTTTCTCAGTATATTATCATTACTATTATTCTGTTTTTTTGTATGTATAACCATTACACATTTCTAATTAGGATCAGAGTGTAGTATATTTGCCTAATCCCTGGACCTTCTCAGCTGGAATCAGTTAGACTTTCTGACTAAGAAACTTACATAATAATAATAATATTAAATGAGAAGGAATTGGGCAAGGGAGAGGAGATGATGAAAAGAGGGTGTGAAAGAAGGTAAAAAAAAAACAAGATTAAAATGAAAAGAAAAACACACATGGGGCAGGGAGAATAAATCTATGTACATAGAGAGAGAGAAAGGTAAGGGATGGAGACAAAAGAAATGTATAGTGATACAGGTTTGCTAGCTAGATATCAAGAAGAGACAATAAGTGGAAAATTGAAAGGTGGATAAGAATAGGAAAGTGTAAAAATACAAAATATTAAAATTCCTTCAGGAGAGAGATAGATCAAAAGAAAGATAATAAAGAATGCAGTAGAAAATATTTTCACATTCCTTATTCCGTTTTCTTATATGTATGAGACTAATTTGTGTTTGTATAACATTTAGATAAAAACATCGACAGGCAATAAAGAGTGGAAGGAATAAGGGAGAAAATGAGAAGATACAGGCAAAGGGTGAAAAAAAGAGTACAGGCATGAGATAATGGATAATTTTAGTTTTATTGGAAGGGATAAGGGAGAAAATGAGAAGATACAGGCAAAGGGTGAAAAAAAAGAGCACAGGCATGAGATAATGGATGATCTTATATTGGAAAGGACAAGGTAGAGAATTAGATACAGAGAGCATAAGAGTGCAGGTATGGGATAATCTTAGTTTTCAACACCTGTGGAGCACATGCATTTATCTGCACCCCCCCAAAAAAAACCGGAAAACTAAAAACAAGGGAAGTAACTTAGTTTAAAGAATCCCATCCCCACCGTAGTTGAGAGCCAGAGAAATGCATTTTAAAATGTCTAAAATATTTACAGTCCTCTGATGTCAAGCTTTGTAGTGGCGTAAAAAAAAAAAAAAAGCCAAACTATCTAATGTGCTAGCGACATTTGACTGTTGACAGTACTCGAAGACGAAGCAAACAAGAGCATTAGACTGTGTATCCACAATTTTGAGCCAGATTTTCTGCTTTTTCAATAATTAGAAAAATGCTCCCCCTCCCAAATGATAAATTGAATTTAAAGTGTGTATGTGTGTACGCATGCACACACACACACACACACACTATATTTTATGGGTTAAAATGCTCAATGTCAGTGATAGAACATATGCAAATATACACGTGGACATTGAGTTCAACACCCAACAGTGACAGTATGTTTCATGCTTAAGTGCAGTCTTCAAGCCATGTCTTGAAGTGTGTGTATGTGTAGATATGTTGAACTCTCCCATCATATTTGATGTATGAGGGTCAAGCAGCTCGGTTCCTAGGAACTGACAACCCAGACACCAGCACATATGATTTGATTAGGGGTGAAGGCTTTGTGCAGAACCAACCATACTTTATGAAGGGCTGAATACAGAGACCTGGTGTACCACGTGCTACAAGGTCCCCAAAAAATCCTCTACAGGTTTTAAAAGTTGTGCTTCTAGACCATTTGCCATCCAAAGCTATAGAACCCAGTCTGTTGTGCAATTTGCACATCTCCAGAGGTAGAAGATTAATACCTTTCTCAAGGGTATTGGCATGTAAGTGAATGTAATGGATTCGACAGGAATTCAAACTCTGCTCTCATAGCAGCTCAGATTGAGGAATCTCTCTCTCTCTCTCTCTCTCTCTCTATATATATATATATATATATATATATATATATATATATATATATATATATATATATAATATAATGTGTTTGTTTGTTTTCTGTACAAATATGACTTTAAAATTCACTTTTCTTGGCTTTAAGCCAGATGTGTGATGTATTATATAGGAAATCTGTGAATGAATTTCCAACAAGTTTAAAGCAGTTGATTCAAAAATAAGTTGCTTCCATATGTCTTTTACCTTCAACAACACCTGCATAAAAGACATGCTATACACGTGAAACAGTACAAAAAAAAAAAAAAAAAAGACTAAGTCCAAATCCTCACCCCGATTCACTCGGGGCAATCATCATCTTATATAATTTCCTATTTTTTTTTTTTTTTTTTTTTACCTAAACTCAGGCTATATCCTGTGCTGAAGCTGGGGTAACTTTAATCTCTCCTTTTGTTGGCCGTATCCTTGACTGGTTTGTAAAGAATACTGACAAGAAAAGCTTTGAACCACTTGAAGATCCAGGTAAGTATTTTTTATTTTATTATGAGAGGGGGATATTATCTTAACTAAAATTTCCAGAATGTTTCAGAAGTTAATCATATTCACGTGTAATGAAATCTAGTGTTATTGGAAATATAGGTTGCTGCAACAAAAATCCCTCCAATAATAGAATAACAACGGAAATCACTTTAACCAAATGAACAGTTGTATGGGGATAAGTGGGTGTGCTAAGAAACATTTTCCAAAAGAAATATTTAATCATTCAGTCAGATTTTGGGAAGTGGGTTTGTCTGCAAACCTTTCAGACTTGTATTAGAGATACTGAATAACTCTTGACATTTGATGCAATTTCTTTTTTCTACTCATTCCAAATGATCTTTCAGTGCTGCTGCCAAGATAAATTATCACTTGATTCTTTGTTGCCAATTATTTTGAGTTTTCCTCCCTCCTGGATATTTTATTAATTTGATCTGCAAGATAAGCAATTCTTGAGTATTTAAGTGTATGAAGTCATTTTCTGGAGAAAATATTTTGTAAATGTTGGAAGTTATTCAGAATTTTTTATTGATTGTATTTTGCTTGTGTGTTTGTGTTTTTTTTTTTTTTTTTTTTTTTAAATTTTATTTTATTCCTGCAGGTGTCAAGAGTGTCACTAAAATCTACAACTATTACAAGAAATTTGGATACGAAACTGTAGTAATGGGCGCTTCATTTCGGAATACTGGGCAGATCGTTGGCCTTGCTGGCTGTGATTTACTGACCATCAGGTAAATAGGCTAAAAAAAAAAAGTTTATATAAAACTAGAAATGATAACCTATTGAAGAAAAATCCTTTTTATACAAAGAAAAGTTGTAAGAAAATTTTCCTGTTTTTCAAGTGATAAGTCCTTTTCATAACAAAACACTTCCTATATTTCGGGGCCACATTACTTTGTGATGCCCAATTTTAGATTTAGTTGTCAAAAATTTTAGGATTTATCAAGAATACATTGTCACAGTTCCAGGATTTTTCTTTTGCTCTTTGATTTCCATTCTTTTTTGCTGGTTATTGTTTTTTCTATCTTGTGTTTTAAAGCATTGTAACCAACAACTGCTTGCTGTCCATTTCAAGGGTCAAGTCTTGAGTAGTTTGGTCAGATTTTTTTTCTTTGCTTTGCAAATTCTGTGAGCAGCTCCAGTGACTTTCAGCATCATTTTAAAATCTAAATTGTCAAATCAATAATATTTTATTTTTCTCTACTATATACTTAGTTCTTTCATGTTAACTGAAAAACACTTGTGAAAAAAAAGAATTCATGGATTTACCATATTACAAAATTCGTATAAAAATTCTCACTTGAAATTTTGAATGTTAGCGTTGCGACTCGCACGTTCCGACATTGTACAACCGTTAATAAATAGCACATTCTTAAAAAAACATCTTTCGGTCTACAAACAATTATTTCGTCTTAAAGTTTTAACTTTAAAGGAAAAATTACAGCCTGATGATGGAGACCTGGATCTTCGAAAGTACTTGCTTAACTTAAAAAACATATACACTAGAAACATCTGACCTCAGTTTTATAAATGAGGATCACATCATTCAATGGATTAACAGTATTTTAATGCATACATTATGTTCTAATAGCAAAGTGATTTTTGCCATTAATCCCATTAATATTGCTGATTGATTCTATGCATGATTATTTCTTATATATATATATATATAAGTACAGAGTGAGTTCTGGTAACACTAAAAAACCAGTGGTAAATGTAAAAATAAGAGCTAAAAGTATGTAATTTCAGAGTTTTTCAATTTAAGTCAAACTGATATAAATCAAATGACTCCCCCCCTTCTCTTCTCAAAGATTGAAATTTAAATAAAGAGAAAAAATAACTTATCATAATTTATTCTTCATTTAATATCCTGAAGGAAGGAAAGTTAGACATTTTGAAGCAAATTTTTATTAACCAACTGAATAATTTACAAATTTTTTTTTAATAAAAAAATTTGAACCAATCAAGTAACAAATGTCTTGCTAATTATTCTTAGGAATTTGAAAATTACTTAACCTGAGCAGGGTTTGTATTCTTAACAGCAGCAGATTTGTTTATAAAGATGGTTTCTCAGTTTGTAAATTGCCAATCCATATTGAGAAAATAGTTATATGAACAATCTTATTTTTTTTTTTTTTTTTTTTTTTTTTAAGCTGTAAGTTGAATATAGATTCAATGAATAACTTAAAAATAAAATTAAATCTACATATAATTTTTTATATAATTGGGGTTGGTAAAAGATACAGCCAAATACTGCTAGTTTGGCGACCCTCAATTATACTAGTGCCGCCACCCCTCCTCCCACCTTTTTGATAATCTCTCAAGCTATTCATCTTGGCTTTGCTCTTTCTATTGCTTGTCTTGTGTACAAAAATAAGAAACTCCATAAAAAAAAATCACTTATTATGACCTTTTAGATGAGTGAAAATACTGTTGGCATATTTAGTTAAAGGAAGTTGCTTCTAGCTATCACTTTTAGAATTTGTCAGTTGACCTCACAAATACAGTAATAATTGATGGAATTCATTGAATTTGTTAAATTATTTTTTGTTTTTCTTTTATTTTAGTCCCAAGCTACTTGAAGAACTTAGCAAGATGAACACACCCCTACAGACTCAACTCTCTGATAGCAAATGTAAGTTAGTTTGAATGTTACAAATTCATCTTTTTATAAGAATATGGATCACAACTTTAAGTTGTGATCTATATTCTTTCAGTTTGGATAATTTCTAACTGAAACAAATTGTAATTGTTTGAATTTAAGTAAATAATTGATACAAAAAAAGTTTAATATCTGTAATAACAATCTTCTGTATTTAATTCCAGCTTGTGTGGTCAATGTATTTTTCATTATCGAAATGATAGACGAAATATTCTCAATCATGATTGACATTTATTTGTACTCATCTATTCCTGACATATGTTTAATTACGATCTCCTTTTCAGGACATAAATCTCAACAGATAAATCCTTTTAGCTCTGTGACAAGGACTGATTGCCAAAATCATATTTGTGCGATGCCTTTGTCATTGGATGACACAAAACATTGAGTTCAACAGGCATCTCCATTGCCTGACAGAATACTTATAGAAATTTATCTTTGTGCCCTAATATTAGATTTTGGAGTTGGCTTTCAGTTGATTTATGAGATTGTAAGTTGAAATATTTTCAGCAAGCTATTTCTGGATACAAATCATGCCCTGAGCTTAAGACAATATTTTTTTTTTTTTTTTTTTTTTTTTTTTTGTATGCAGAGTCTGATAAAAATTCAGATGTTTACTAAATTTATCATGATCTTAAAGACAGCTTCATGACTGGTGCTAAAAAAAAAAAATCACTAAAACCTTTACTATCAGGTCATCCCATAAGTTCTGTCTTAATTTTAACTTTTTTTAAAATGAACGAAATTTAAAGTTTTTTATAATGTCTAATGGAGCTGAACATTATGTTTAGATGCATTTAAACTGATCAAATTTTATTTCAGAGAACAATAAAATTAAATTTTGTTTGATTAAAACCCTGCTAACATGGAAGTACCCAAGAATCAATTGAGGCACATAATGCTTTATGAGTTCAAGAAAGGGAACTCGGCAGCCGAAGCGGCTAGGAACATTCACTCAGTTTATGGAGAGGAATGTGTGAATGAAAGAACCTGCAGAAGATGGTTTGCAAAATTCAGAGGTGGAGATTTCACCCTTGAAGATGAAGATCGAACCGGACGTCCAGTTGAGTTTGATGAAAAGCTTCTTGAAGCAGCCCTTGAAGAAAATCCTGCTTTATCAGTTTAAGAATTGGCAGTGGTTCTCAGTTCAAACCATACAACTGTTCGTCATCTTCAACAACTTGGAAAAGTTCCTAAACCTGGAAAATGGGTGCCTCATGAATTGTCTGAAAACAACCTCAAATCCCGAGTTGACATCTGCACTTCTCTCCATTCTCGCCAACTTGTTTCACCTTTTTTGGATAGACTTGACAAAAATGGATCTTTTATCAAAATGGTAAGCGTCGTAGACAGTGGCTTGGTAAAGGGGAAGGGCCACAGCCGAGAAAGGAACTTCACGGGCAAAAGGTTCTTCTTTCAATCTTTCAATGGCCAATGAATAATCCACTTTGAATTCTTACCACCTAATGCAACAATTAATGCTCAAATATACTGTCGGCAATTAGGGCGTTTGAACCAAGCTTTGAGGAAAAAAAGACCTGCTCTAGTGAATCAAAGAGGCGATGTTTTATCGGGACAATGTGCAACCCCACACAGCAAGAATCGCGTCACAAAAGATCGAAGAACTTGGTTGGGAGAAAATTTCTCATCCACCTTATTCTCCTGATCTTGCTCCTTCAGACTACCATTTGTTTTGTAGCTTACAGAATCATTTGGAAGAAACAGCTTTTGTAACACAGGAAGAGGTTAAAACTGACATTTGTGAGTTCTTCGAATCGAAGCCAAAAGAATTTTATAGTAATGGAATTAGTAAGCTTGTTAATAGATGGAAGGAAGTCATAGATAATCAGGGAAAATACATTGTTGATTGGATCTGTAATTAGATGTAACATTTGATCACTTTTTTTTTTTTTTTTTTTTTTTTTATTCAAAATTCAGACAGAACTTATGGGATGACCTGATAAAATGTGAAGACAACATTGCTTAAGTACTTCAAACTGCAACACCAAAACAAATGACTATCACAAAACTAGAGAAGTAAATAATTATAATGAAGCTGCTAACCTTTTGTTTAAGGTAATGTGAAAAGTTAAGGAAACTGCCATCAATACCTGAAAGAGTAATCAGTGATCTTAATCAATTTTCCCAAGAAATTTAAAAAAAAAAAAAAAATGAAAAATATTTAAGAAATTTCAATAGATACGAATGTAACATTCGTATCTATTGAAATTTCTTAAATATTTTTTACCTGTTTGGTAAATGAATGTTTTCTGTCTGTCATTACAATTGTTGTATACACTTTGTGAATGATTGGGCTCACTATTAATGACTTGTGAGATTGCCACCATGTTATACTCCCAAGAGGGGAAATGAAGCTAAAAACCCATGGCTGTCCATTCTGGGTATGATGATAAACGAGATCCGCATCCTAGGTAAGACGATAAACCACATCCAACAGCAAGCCTCTGATCAGGAGGTCTTTGAAGAGCGTGGAACCACCTCTTAATTCCCAGTTCCACCCTGACCTGGGGTGGTAGCACCTGTTAGGGTCTCAGCTATGGGAAAATAGTTGACCCCCTCCCCCGAAATGAGGACAAAACATAATGAAAGTGTAAAAATAGGTTTTTATACCAGCAATACAGTTTTGTAAAAACTTATTACCAGTTTTGAATTTTTGAAGAAAAAAATTACTTTTTTTTTTTTTTTTTTTTTTTTTTGAAAAAATATTACCAGCAATAAAAAATCTTGTCAGCATTGAGATTTTGATATGTTGTAAAACCAAACCCATGGCCATGAATTCTGGGTTAAGTTTTGGGAGACTGAAGTAGTTAACTTCAGGATAGCCTTCAACATTGTACCACTGGGTGGGCCGAGGGGGATGGGTCATTTTCTTTACTGTATAAAAAAGTGTATGAGTGGGGATAGAATCAGAATATTACTATATTGCTAATAGGAAAGTTGATTCACCCAACACCAGTATCACTAAGACATCAGGAGGGACTGTTAAGCAATTAATTTTAATTCTTTATTACTGGCTGAAATGTAGCAGACAGAAAATTCTAAAATTTTCCTAATTCTACAAATGTTGGCAACTTTTTGAGCACATATCTTTTAGTTTATCACTCCTTCTTGTGTTTCAGCCAAAGAAATGAATATGGAAAAGGTGAAGGTTGACGAAAAGACGTTTCGCTTCATGATGAATGAGGATGAGATGGCAACAGAAAAACTTTCTGATGGAATTCGACGCTTTTCTGCTGATGCTGTGAAATTAGAGAAAATCCTTAAAGCCAAAATGTAATTCTTGCAAACTGGAACTTGATTTTGAAAATAAAAAAAATAAAAATATAAAAAACGAGCCCTGTTCTGTAATGGCAGTAACAGTTGGTTGTTTGAAATTCAGAGATGAATAATTTTCATTATTCCATTAATTATTTACTCTAATGCCCTTTGACCTTCTTCCAAATATATTGTATTTGGTAATTCTTGAGTGCCTATGAAGTGTCTACCTTTTATCAATATTCTGGTCTAAATTGGATTTCCTTTAAAAACAAAAGCCAAATTGCTAAAAATAAGAAAATTAACACCTAAAATTTGTGGTTGTAATACTTCTGTCATCATAAGAGTTTAATTCATAGAGATGGTCAAACTGACTATTCGAATATGATAGAAAATGAATTTGTGATTTGACAAGTAAAATGTCCTAATTTTTATCTTATTGTTTTAAAGTTGCAGATAAACTGAAGTAGTTTTTCAATTATATTGAAAACTTAGATATTACTGACATGCTTTGACAAAAATCGGTCACCTAATAAATAATTATTCAATGACATTTATGAATTATTGGATATAATGTACCTGAAGAAGGTTAAAAAAAAAAAAAAAAAAAAAAAAAATACAAAACTAAAGATGCTTTTACGAATATTCAGGTTTGCTTTACACAGGAATTAACAAAAATGATGTTAAGGAAATAGAATTACCTCCCTTGCACCGGCATTGAATAAAGATCAGTTGCTACGATTTCTTAGACTTTACTGTTAAAGTAAAACGCTCACTGATACTTGGAGCATTATATAATGTGGGCCGCCCCCCAAGCAGTTTCTAAAGGTAAGTGAATTTTGTTTTATTCTGGCAAATAAAGATTTATCTGAACTCATGAGGGTTCAATTGTTTACATCCTAGATCTGAACAGCTTGACTGCCCTACACACACGACAGCCTTTGTAACCATTAGTCATTTTGCCAGAATCCTGTACATTTTTCAGAATTGAATGCAAACAGCTGCCGTATGTAATGTACCAAGAGATCCCAAAATAGTAAACCACCCTTAGGTTTTGAATTAGGATTTGTCTTGCTAGATTGTAAACCAAACAAGGCAAAAGTACTGTTTGCCATTTACTAATTAACTCTTATCTGAGGAGAGAAGAGATGAATTCATATCTTTCCAAGTTTATTTGTGTGTAAAAAAAAAAAAAAAAATGAAGTCTGTTAGAATTCAAACTTTGGTTGCAGATTTCGGCAAGCTTCTGACATAGTCTAATGGTTAGCATGTTTGTGATTCTAGATCAATTATGACTAAATAGTGAGTTCAATTCTCACTGGGTGTCTCATTTGCAGCCTTGTATTGCATAAGTTACCCTTAGGAAATAATTCCAAGCCACCAAGCAACACTCCACTTGATGCAGGAGTTGACACCTTACAGTGTATTTCATAGTTTACATTTAGATTATACACAAGTTGACTTGGAAGTTGTTTGCTAAGTGGTGGGCTGGAGTTTGGCCCACATTTAAGTTACTCTTTAAATTTATTACACTAAAGAATATTAGTGTGCTTGCTACATGTACTCCCCCCCAATGTTTTGTGGAATCAATATTTGCTAGATGCAGTGTACAACAAAGATTAACATTGGTCTTTTGTGGCTGTAAATATGTCAAATGAAGTTTACATTTTTACTTATTGTCAGTCAAATTTTTATTTGATCAGTTTAAAAAAGAAAAAAATTGAACATATGTGATAAAGGCTCTCCACTATTTTCTTTATTATATTTCTGTTTACATTCTGAAGACAGCAGAAATAAATTGAAAAATCAAGAAAAAATAATTTAGACATTTTCTTCTATTTTTTTTTTTTTTTTGTCTCTTTCAATTGTGACATTGTAATAGCATGACCCTGTTAATGCTGGCAGTCAGTTGAACAATTTTAAATCCATAAGGCATGAAAATTACTTTTTCTTTCAGTTGAAAGCTTTGTTGATGGAACCAACTTAGACAGAATGGACAATCATTTTCAATCACCAAAATATAGCCACATCTTAAAAAAAAAAAAAAAAAAAAATCTTTCACACCTGTGAAAGATTTTTCCCTTACTATTCTCAGAAAAGTTAACAGCTTATATACAGATAAACCTCTCATCAACGGACTAAGGGGGGGGGGGGATTTGGTTCATTAAAGACCCTTATCCCTAGATGGAAATGGATTATTTTTGAGTTATAAAATCACTATGGTAATTATCAGTAGTTATGATCATAATGTAAATACTATAAGCATGTATATTTTAGCATACTTAATATGTGTATTAATCAAAATAATAGATTTCTTGCAGCTACTTTCTCATGTACATGCTAAAGTATTGTACTTTCTGTCTTTGTTTATAAGTGAGAGTCCTGCCAAGTGGTCACTTTGAGAACGAATACATCTTGTTCTGCTAAGCCCATAAATTTTGAAATGCATTGCTGATGATTTGAAAATTTGTTTGCCTGCAAATTTTATCTGTTGCATCCAAAGTCCTTAGATGAGGGGTTTGGATATGTGTAAAATAAAAAAAAAAAAAATTATAAAGTGTTTTTTGCAAAATGTTGGATTTGTAATCAACTGAATGTTGGAAAAAGAATGAAACTTAATTGTCAAACATTCAGACAAGTTAAACTTTATTCCAATTTTTAAGAGATTTTTTTTTTCTCTTAGATAATTTGTTTAGCAATCTCAACACCTCTACCCAAAAAAAATTCCTCAGTGTAATATCAAAATTGCTTATCTTATTTTTGTAGCTCATTCTTGCTATCAAATATGGAAAGAGTCTTATTTTCTTTTAACAGTTGTATATAGAACATTAATTTTGTTTTTCTTTGCCTTATTTTGAGGGAACTTATCTAAACTAATTCATTAAACTATTATGCATGATATCCAACTATATGAATATGGTTTTAATCGTCTCAGGCCACCAACTCTAAAAAATTAGACTATAATATTTTTGTACCATATCAATGATTTCCAACTTTGAGTTTAAAAGTATTGCAGTGTTTCTCAACCTTTTGGCCCTTGTGGTACCCTTGAAATGGTTTTCATGTCTCGAGAACTCCTGCATAAAAATTGTATATCATTAATATCTATCTCCTCTTTTTATTGTAGTTCATGTGCTAAGCAATATACTGAGACATGAATCTGCTACATATAGTTTCTCTTCCCTAACCAGCAAAGGCAGTTTTACACTTAAGCCATATATGCATTGCTATATACACTCCTCTGAGATATATATATATATATATATATAAATTTTTTTTATTTCTGTACAAAATAATAACCCACCTAGTTGAAGAGGTTTTGCTCATATTATATATATATATTGAAGATATTTTATATATATATATATATATATATATATATATATATATACACATACACCTACCAAATGTTCAAGAAATTCATTTGGAGTATATCTTGTGGAACTTGGTAATAGCTTGAGAAAAAAAAAAATTATCTGGTGGTACGTTGCTCTTAGGACAAATAATAAACACTGTAAGTAAAGATCGAATCTATAGTCTGCCAAGGATTTGCAAAGTTTACACAAAAAATATACTTTTGAAACTTTTGCAGGAAGCATAATTTTGGTTATAAATATGCAACATTTATGATGATAATATATGGATATCTTTCCTGAGATGTTTATAAATTGTATAGTATTCAGTTTTTAATGTTAACATCAAACTATTTTAAATTACAAAATTGTATTTGGATTAAACAAAAATTACAATATAATATATTACTACTTGCCGTCAATTTTGATTGCATGGGTACACTAGTATAAATATAACATGAAGCTTTTATTAGAATAAGCAACAGATTATGAATATAAAATTAAAAAAACTCAAAAATGCCTTAACCTATTTACCATGGTTTCTTGGTTCTGGGAACTCTGGTTGACAAAGACATTGGTCTAATATATTAGGCTTGGTGGCTGGAGCTGATTCAGACCATGTCCAGTTGGGTGTTATGCATAAATGGATTCCATTTTAATGATTTTTTTTTCATTGTGCCCTGTTCATCTGGCCTTGTAAACTTAAGCTACAACAATTTTTTTTGCAAGTAGTTATTTTCCTTTGTTTCTCAGATAATTGATAGCTATAACAAATGGCATCAAAAAAAAAAAAAAAAAAAAAAAACCAGTCCTGAATTTTTATTTTTTCTAAAAACTTAAAGAATCTTTCAGGCCATATTGCCAAAAAAAAAAAAAAAAGAAGTTATATAATGCTTTCAATTTTATATATATATATATATATATTTTTTTTTTTTTTTTTTTCTTTCTATGGTGGGAAGTTGGGTCAATGACTTTTCAGTACCCCCTCTGTTGTCACAGATTAATTTTAAAATTATTTTTATTTTACAATTTTTTTTTTTTTTTAAAATAAATATATTTCTGTGGGCTACAAATATTTCCTGGAGGCATAGCCAAACCAGTCACTTAGTAGAAAATTTTAAGCTATGAACATCTTGTTCATTCTGTTTTGAGCAGTATGCTTAACTGTCTTCGGACTTTCCCCTTTCGGTACCACAGAAATGAGAGGTCTGCTGAAAAGTTCTCAACCCAACTTGAGTTGGATTACAAAAACTGACATTTCATTTGGTCAGTTTCTTTTTAACTTTTTTTTTTTTTTTTTTTTTTTTTTTTTTTCCCTTTAGATAAATCAGTTAATAAATTGCTGAGTTTCTTCTTAAATTTGTGAATTCTCTTCAAATCACAGGTTCCTGTGGTTTTTCTTGTTGACTTGTTTGAAGGGCAATAAATTGTAAGCAAAAACCTTGATTTGTTTTTACTTGTCACATTAAGAAGACTGCTCAATCAATTCAAGTCTTATTTATTTATTTATTTTCCAAATACATGGCTGAACATTACTGAATTGCACTTAAGATCTTCTCTGAAAAAAATAATTTTGTCTTTATGGAGATGTATAATGGTGGTGTCCCTTCCTTTTTAATATTGTGAACTTGTATTTAAATTTGATGGTGTAGTATTTCCTTTTTATGTT